CCCCAAAACCCCAAAACCCCAAAACCCCTTAAGGCTTTGCTTTATCTTTATTTTAGCAATAAACAAATAAATAAATAATTTGTAATGGGCAACCGTAATGTATGTGGCTTCTTTCCAGAGATGCGCAGAGAGGATGACAAGTTTTCTATAGATGGGTTAAACTATGATGAAAATGCAATAATAAAATAAATATACACCTCAATGGGAATCTCCAGTAATACTTTAACTCAATAAATTGCATTTTTAAATTAGATAAGGAAGTGTCTATGGTAGAATTCAAGCGAAACTTGGATGTGTAAATGATATTTATGCGAAAAAGAAAATTGATTACCCCCAATATGGATCAAATATATGACTATATTGACGTCCTTCTCGATAAAGATATGAGATCTAATATGAGATATAGAATCGGTTTAAATGAATTCATGGTTTTATGGCAAAATGCACTTCATGAAAAGTAAGTGGTGCAAGCAGTCCAAATATTAATGTTATTCAAGCTTGATTATATTATAAGGGACATTTAATAAATATTTTCTTATAGGAAACTCGAGGATAGAAGATAGTGGAAAGATATTAAGTACAAGGAACCCGAGAGAGAGAATATGTGCTACGGATGCTTACTATGTCAAAAAAGAGATAAAATTGTAAAAAGTGAAATGTCTGCAGAGTTCGCTCCTACAGATCTGAAAAGACAATAATCTGATGCTGGACACACACATAAAAGAGGCTCAGGTTAATCGTCTTTAGAAAGATCAGATGTAACATCTGTGAGCTCTCACTATTAAATGCCTAGACTTTATGTGGTTGACTAGGATAATAAGAAATTCGATTCAAGATCAAGTATTAAGTCTGAGCAAGTTAACTATAAATCCAGGATCTGACATAAGTGTATAAAAGAGTGACTTATATGAGGGTGTTTTGAGAAAATGAGTTTGTTCAAAGTGATTTGAATAAAAAATCTGTAATTCCTTTTTGAGATTGATAGATTGATAGATTGATTTAATATGTACTTTAATTATAGTGAAACACCCATAATCTTTAATATTTTTCAGTGCTAACTTAAAGTATGTTAAAAGTGTAAACAATAAAATAATAAACATCTCATTGTCTTAAACTGTTTAATCTATATTTATCTTAAATTAAATTAGTAAGAGCTGATCTGTTTATTAAGAATAATTTAATAATAATGTCTATGATGCAGCCAAAACTAAATAATCCTTAAAATACGACCTCATTTACTGACACCTTCCAGAATGTTATCATTAAAAAGTCAGCTGAGTTACCTAATGGTAGAGAAGATTAGTCAATTTTTCCAGTTTCAAAGGCTTAGTATTTTATGAACTAAAAAATTAAAATAGATCAATCAGTTAAGAAACAAAGTTTCTCATTTGCTTCAAATTTAGAGGAACATGGAAGAAATTTATCTATAATAGACTATGAAAAGCAATTGGAGGATAGATTTAGAACTACATTCCATGTCAGGAATAAAACCTATCACTAATTTCCTGATAATATCACTACACCAGGTCCAGCAGGTAAATTCGAATTGTACTTAAACTCAACCATTTAGTTTTAAGAGAATCAAGTCTTGATAAAAATAAATAGTTGTTTTTTCCATAGCACACTATTCGTAGGACTCCTATTACAACTAACCCAGCCACAATATCGCAGTCTTAAAACTACAGGAAGTCTTTCTAAATTAGCACTAATTCACATCATTCAAACTTTACATAACTGTTAAGTAATAACACAAATCCAAATGCAAGTGATTACAAAGAAGACAAACCTATGAATATAGCTCTTAAAAATTTCAAATAGATAAAAGCAAGGGCATAAGTTGATGAGCTGAATACTTCTTAAAGTAGTCATTTTAGAAATTTAACAGCTGACCCAATTAATATTCGCAAACCAAGGTCCCGTAGAATAGCTTAAATTATTTAATCAGATAGAAAGAGCGGACAAAAAAATAACATTGACATTGAGAGTGGAGAAATAAATCAAAAATAATAAGACAAACTGCTAAATCAGACCTTCACTTCTGGAAGAAATAATATAAGCATATATGAAAATGAGGAAACTGGGCCAATCAACTAAATAAGCTCGTTCAATCATAGTGAAAATAAGTATAAATTTAACTCCACTTGCTATTTAGATTAAAAGAATCAGATTCTAAAGGAAGCTCGGAAGAAAGAATAATAGCAATAGGACAAGATAAATGAACTAGAGGCTAATCTTAAGTTAGTGAGAGAGGAGTTGACTAGGATTAAAGAGTTTGCCAAATAGTACGTCAGTGAAATGATTGATTAAAGTTCTGTCCACACAACTGACCAGATTGAAAGTCAAGACATTGACAGCTTCTCGTAAATAGGAGAGAGTCAAATGAAGAAGAATTCTAAAACTTAGCCTAGTGCCTTAGAGGTTCATAGGTTGTATCATGATCTCTATCTTACAGACCTTAAATCTGATATTGAATGTGCTCAAAAAGAAGTAACCAACATTAGACAAGATAAAGTTAATTTGTAAAAGAAATACAGTGACTTGAAAAAAGAAAACTAAGATTTGAAGAACAACTTAAAGAGATATAGAACTTTATTGCTTGAGCAAGAGAAGAAAGTATCAGAACTTCAGGTTTAGCTTGAGAAGGCCCAGAAAGGCACAGGGGTTTTTCAGATGAAATTAGGTGATTAAAGTTTCAGCTCTTTATTATCTAATCCTCTGGGATAAAATCATGGAAGTAATTTTCAAAATGCGAACTCAAGCGTTCAATAGTCATCCAGGGTTGGAACTACATAAGATCATAATCATAGAAGAGAACTTTCTAATCATGTAGAAAATGCTTCGCTAGATATTAATAGTGGTTAAATAAACTTGAAGAGTGATTTTTCTTTTTCTCAAGCCTTATAAAATCCTCATAAAACTGAAAAATTAATGTAAAATGTTCACAAGGATGATTTCGAAGATAATAAAATTGGTACCCCTATGCTAAAAAACGAGGAATTATTGCTTAAGTAACTCACTCTAACTTAAAAACTAGATTAATTAAGTCGCTTTTCAAAAGTGATACTGGGTTCAAATAATCTAAAGCATCTATTCAATCAACTAAGACTAGCTTTAAAAACAATATTCAGATGTGAATCAGCTTACTTTTTGCTTCATAAGAAATAAATATGCAAGGATTTCAAAGAAGAAAAAGGATTGACTACTGCACTTAGAATAGAGAATGGTAAGTATGATAAGTTATTCTCATTGATTTTATAGAGTGGTTTGAAGGAGTAATTCACGATGTTATGAAAGAGAGCGAAAATGTTCACAACATAAAAATAGAATTTAATTAAAAGGATATTTAAGGTGGCATAGTAAAAGGTCCAGTCATGTGCTGGCCTGTATTTTCTAATAGCTAGAAAAATTCTCTCAAATAAGAAGAAGTTTATTTGATAATTTAGGTCAATGGCTATAAAAGTTATTGCTACAAAGCTGTAGACGGTACTATTATGAATATAATATCAAAGATTGTTTCGGGTGCTATTGATTCAATTTAGTTCTAAAGAAAAAGTACTTAAGCAGTTTAAAGATCGTTTGATATCCTAGATATATTCAAGACTTTGCTGTCTGAAAGAAATCATGCATTACTTTTCTGGAGGATCTCAACACTTTTCCCAAAATTATTTAACTTTAAGGACTCTGGCGTATTATTCATGGATGTAAAATCTAAGCATTTGTATAGTATTACATCTGATGACTATGAGCAAACTGCGCTTGATCTAAATGAAGAAAACATCGTCAGATACCCAAATAATATAGGATTGACTGGAATTGCGATTGCTAAAAAAGATATAGTAGTATCTTAAGCTGGCTATAAAGATAGATAATTTGCTCCTGAAGTCGATAATTATATCAATATCAATAAAGTGAATAATATGCTCATTGGAGCAATGGTTGATAGATATGGTGAAGTTAATGGAGTACTTCAACTTATTAATAAAAGTGGAGCTGACACGGAAATAACTGAGCAAGATATGATAGAGTTGAAAGCACTACTGCCTGCACTAGGAGAAATTATAAGGACAGCAGATGAATCCATGGAAATATCAAGACTAAGATATGGTAAGATATTTTATTGCATATTAACACATTTAAGCCCTATTAAGTTGTCTGGGTAATATAAATACAGCTGTATTTGACAAAAACAAGGATATTGGACAAAATAATTTGGCTATGCTAGATCAAATGATGAGAACTATGAAGACCTAGATAACTAACTTGGTTAATCATAAGAAGGAATATGTCTTTGGAGGTGATAAAGGACTTGTGTAAGATGTGTTCTTAGGCCTTAAAGTCAAATTAAGTGCTCTTTCAAATGAGGGCAAAGGAGGGGCTCTAAAGAACGGGTTAAGCCTATTGATAAGTTCAGCAAACAAAGAAGTTGGATTAGAAGATGAATTAGGATAGGAAGATGCCCCTTGAGGTTATAATAATTTACTACTTAATGAAATAAAGACTAAATAATGATTATAAAGCAAAATATTAAGTTAATTTCATCAATAAAAACTAAATTTTTTCTAAGATACTTTATCAGATTTCATGTTTTGTCTCCTTTAAATTTCCGATAGGGTTCATATATCTATGCTCATGGGTACTTATTCTGTTATTATTGTTAGTTCTTGAGTTATTATTCTATGAAAATCTCGTAATCAATTGGTTAGCATATTCCCCAGATCTTAGACCTAAACGTTTTATAGTCTCTGCAACCTCAGTTTAGTCCACAACATGATCCTCATCATCTTTCTAATACTCTTTGAGTTTTTCTATTTAGTCCTCATTGAGTGTATTAACAATTTCTTTTTTTAGACTCAGTGATCTTAGTATTTACTTTTTGAAGGTCTTTTGCTGACTCCTCATTGTTGAGATTCTAGGCTGGGCAAGATACTTCAAAGGTGATCTTATAGGCGAAGTTTTTGAATGCAGAATAGGCGTTTCCTTAAGTCCAGGGGAATTCTTACCTGGATAGTTATTTTCTCCCTCTTAGTTTCTCTGTTAGTCTAATTACTATTAAAATCTCTATTAATCTATGTCTCTTTATTGAATAATCAAGAACTCCTTTAATCTTTGTTCTTTTTCAAAAATATTCAAGAAGTTCCTACTTGGCTAATACATATCAGTAAATTATTTAACCTCCTCAGCATTATATGTAAAAGTGCCTAATTGAGATTTAGATTTAGCTTTTGACCTTTCTTTTTTATCAAACATTTTTTACTTTATCAATCTCTTTACGATTGGTTCTCTGCTCTTATACTGATCAATATACTTCATCAAATCATCCTTAATATCCTTATTTTGATCTAGTTTAACTGAAGACTTCATTAGATAGTCTTAATCAAAGACATCAACACACTTGAATTTTTACTCAAAGATGCCAAGCTTCTCATCTTATTCTGAGATGCTTCTTTTTCCCTTTTAAGATTTTTAGTGAGGGTTATCACTCTCTAAGTAATTATCAAGTAACTCTTTGCTTTAAAACGTTCTCTCAGATATTAGGTTACCAACATTGTCCCTTTCCGCAAAGAAAGGAATGAACTAATTAAAATTCCTTAGATTTATTTTCTGGAATCTTTTATCTTGCATGAAGTTCGTTCTTATCATTCCATCTTGCACCTTTTATTTATTACTCTTACTTTCAGTACTGATTTCTTTTAAAACCTCTTATGGTTATTCAAGTTTATCTATAACTACACTATATTTTTTGAGATGTCTATACTTATTTTAATTTTGTTATTTTAAGGAATCTCTTAAGTTATGAAGAGCTTCAATTGTCTTTGTGTCATTAAAGAGATATTCATATGGAAGTTAAGAATTAACAGAGGGATTGCGGGCTTAACTGTATTATGTCTATAGTTATCTATTGAACTAAGCACGGCCTACTCTTTTAACATAACGATCTAGCTAAGACGTAGTCATCATCATGTTGTCAGTTTGATAATTGTTTCGCTAAGATGATCTTGCATCAAAGAGAGTATTTATATCAGTCGGTTAAGTCTTTATTTAATCTCTTGCCGTTTTAGGTAATGTAATTTCATGCAAACTCGGATTTCGATTTTTAAATCTGATGCCGAAGAACTTTTAGCTTGAATTCATATTTTTCTGATTATCCCTAGCAGTCATTGGTGCTTAATTTAGTATCCTAACATTCGGAGCAATCTTCTTGAATACTGTTACTCTTGGAGTACCAGATTTGGAATCTGACATTCTTCGAAAAACTAGATTAATTATTATTTAATTTATGAATATCAATTTTAGTAGATTAATTAAACTTTTTTACGTTCATTATTTCGTTGTTAAGGGGTTTTGGGGTTTTGGGGTTTTGGGGTTTTGGGGTTTTGGGGTTTTGG